AGGCAGGGAAAATACAGTCCAGGCAGGACAGTACCAGGCAGTCTGAAGACTGTCTCCCAATCCACTCTCTAAATGCTGGGAGGAGTCAGGAAGCAGACAGGCACCCTTTTCACTGGGCAACAGTTAACTGAAAGTTCAAATTTTGCACTTTCCCTGCCTCCCATGTGGGTTTTTTCAGTTTTTTTCAGTTCGTAACTCAAATCTAAGTACGTAAGTCAAATCAATATTTTCCTATGAGAGCGGTTCATAAGTCAAAATGTTCGTAACTCGGGCCGTTCGTAAGTCAAGACCCCACTGTAAGTGCTCTGCCAAGAACCATCAGCCATTTCCAAGTAATCCAGGGGAAGGGGAGGGGAAGAGAATAGCAAAACCTCTCCATCATAAGCCTAATTTAGCCTCCATCTAATTGCACTATTCCATTTACAGGTCCATTTCCATGAAGTGACACAGGCTAGCTTCTTGATTGTTCCTCTCAGTCCGTGGCAAGCAATTGTAATGCCGTGCCATTGTTCTCAATAATCATGTTATGCCTGCAGTGTTCCAGTCATTAACTGTCTGTCAAAAGAACAGCTCTCATCAGACAGACTATTTCTCATTTAAAACTTAACGCGGAGAAGCCTCATTTCCTTCTAAATGTCATAAGGTATGTTATCAAGTGAGCCTCCCAATTTGGTTCCTTCCCCACCCTCTTTATGAGTGTCAGATCCCTTCTCAGCCATTTCAGTTTCTGTACAGATATTATCTAAATCCTCCCTTAGCCGCATAACATTACTGGCAAGGAGCTGCCTGTGTAGCTTTCTCTGGGTGCTCTTGTTACTTAGCTGTTACTTCCTTAAATAAATTTTTGTTTCTAAATCAGGAAAGGTCTATCTATTTTAACAGTTCTAGAGCCAAACCACACCTTTAAAAATATCTCACCCAAAACTGTACCACCTCAGAATGCAAATGTAGCAACTAGGTGTATGTGCTTTCCCAACACATCAAAACACCTTGGTTATAGAAATCTAGCATGCCAGTGAAAAGGCTTCAAATCTTGCTCCCTGATGTGCTTATTTTCTAATTGCAGGAATGTTGCAGAGAAAGAATATTTGAATATCGCAGGCCCTGAGGCCTAGAGGAAGCCAGTATGGACCTCCAGAAGAGCTTTAAAGGTATATTTGTTTATTTTGGCCTTTTCTCTACTTGTTGTGGTGGTTGTTGTTGTTTAATGTGGCATTGGATTTAGATAATGTGAACAGGGGGCATCTGAATGCTTACACAATTTTTTTTTTAGCTCTCTGGCTTTTAGTTGATATTTATATTTACTGTGTTTGTATTAAGTTCTGGAAGTTCTCTTAGGAAAACAATTTCTCTTAAATATGACATAAAAATATTTTAAATAAAATAAAACCAGTCTACAAATCATACCAATAGAGATACACATACGGACTTAAAGTTGTAATGATCTGAGAGGAATGGATTACACCGTTATTTCTGAATTATTGTCTAAGTTAATAACCTCTGTGTTGTTCCTTCCTCATTCTAGGAAGTCACCCCTCATTCTAGCTTGAAAAGTGCAAAGTTTAGAAGTTAGTATTGTTTTTCATTTTGAAAGACCTCTCATCATCTGACCCTGAGAACTTTCGCTTAGCTTTTGCTGAAGTGTGTCACTGGTTAAGGAGCACATCCACATTTTTGCACCACTCAGATTGAAACAGCCCCTGGAACTGGAGTCACCACATGGAGATACCAGGTCAAACAAATGGTGCCACCATGTAAGAACAGCAGCTTGAAGGATTCTCAGAACATGGAAGTGGTGGGACACAGCAACTTGCAGAATCCTCTAACTAGTGTGCCAATGAACAAACTGGCTAAGTATTTCTGGGACCTGTGGTCTCCCATTCCAAAGCGTTTTCCAAGTTCTATTTTTGGAGGTAGTTTCTTGGACGCTATTCTTTATATGAAGCACTCCTCTTGTTATAAAGCCAGTTTAATATATATGACAATGATCAACAGTGATGTGGGGCCAACCTTATTTTGAATCTAAATGTGGGTATTCTATGGGTACTTATCCTGCTTTGTTCCCAGTCATGGAATTTTTAAGTGCATTCATATTTTAAATAAATCATAATAACGAGTTTGAATTTAGACATAATACAATTCATAGCAAAATTCTCCCCTTTCCCAACAGGTTTACCAGTGTAATATCCTGCACTACTGAGTACAAAGTCAGTAATAACAGATCACATTGATATTTGTTGGAGATGGGGAGGGGAGCGACACCTGCACAGAATTGGTAAGGTGAAATTTCCCCAGGACTTGTTCTTCCTATAATGAGTTTGAATTTAGACATAATACAATTCATAGTACAATTCTCCCCTTTCCCAACAGGTTTACCAGTGTAATATCCTGCACTACTGAGTACAAAGTCAGTAATAACAGATCACATTGATATTTGTTGGAGATGGGGAGGGGAGCGACACCTGCACAGAATTGGTAAGGTGAAATTTCCCCAGGACTTGTTCTTCCTGAAATATACCCCAGGCTAATTTGACCACATTCTTTTTATATGTGCGTGTATCAACCAGAAGGCCAATGAGCTTTGTTCGTGGACCCTAGAAATCTGGGGCCTTCACATTAGAACAATGTTGGACAAGATTCCTCCAGGTGAGTGCCATCCACTTGTATGAAATTAGAGCATTCCCCATCTACCTCCACCAGCATGGACAATGGTTACAGTGACTGGGGATTATAGGCTATGTGGTTTCGTATATCTGGAGGGGGAGGCTGCTTTGGACACTACCCCACAGTTTCTGGCGCTTTGAGCATACAAAGCGCCAGATTTGTATGCTCTAAATCATATGTATTAAAGTAGTTCATTGGCTGAAATCTTGTTGCTTCGTTTAGTAAGTTGCACTAAAGTAGGGTCATTGACTGGGTATTTGGTGAGTTAATTCCTCTGTAAATTCCATTGATTCAGATGGGCATACTCTAATTGTAATTAAGCAACAGGATTTCAGCTGCTGTCTTATTTATTAGTATTCTATATCCCTTTTCAAAAAATTGGGTTATTGTAAGTATGCCACAAGGCTTTAAAAGCATATAAAAGAGGCAGTTCCCTAGCTCTCTGCCCCAAAGACACTGCAGTCTGAAACAGCAAGAGCATCTACTAGAGTGAAGCTGAAAGGCTTCCACATAAAAGCAAAGTAGTTAATCTTGTTAGCTGAGTTTTGTATTCTGACTGTTTTAATTATACTGTAACAGGAGCTAAAGCAAAGGATTACCAAGTACTATAAGAGCAGTGGGTGGGTGGTTCACAGTGAAATGTCAGCTGCAAGCAGAGTTTTTGAGCACAGGGGGAGTAATGATGCACAATTCTATGGAAAAAGTGAGAGGGTAGGTGTTAATGACAGCAGGGGAGAGATGGAAGAGGAGAGACAAAAGAGAAAAGGAGACTTTGTGAAATGCAGAGGTATCTGCACTTTGGCTTGGAGGGAAAGGAGCACCAAAGACATACATGAGCGCTATTTATTCCTCCCTGAAAAAAGAAAAAGATAATGCATCACCAAATGAAGACAAAAGAAAAGGGCAGATTTGAGAACAATCTGCATGTGCTAATATTTAAATGTAAAAGCAAATTTAGAAAGAATGGCCAAAATCATGTTGCTCAGCACAGTAAATTGCACTAGAGTAGGCCTGCTTGACTCAATGAGGATTTAGTGAGTCAATTTCTCCATAGGTTCTGTTGATTCAAATGGGCCTACTCTACTTGCAACTTACTATACTAAAGTCACAAATAAAGTTGTTGTTACGTGCTGTCAAGTCACCTCCAACCTATGGCAACTCTATGACTGAGAGAGCTCCAGAATGCCCTGTCCTCGTTATCCCTGCTCAGTTTTTGTAAACTCAATCCTGTGGACTGAGAGAGAGTCAATCCATCTCGTATTCAGTCTTTCTTTTTCTTACTGCCTTCAACTTTTCCCAGTATTTTTTTTTTGCAAAGAATCTTGCTTCTCATGATATGCCCGAAGTTTCAGTCTCATCATTTTTGCCTCCAGAGATAATTCAGGCTTGATTCGATCTAGGACCCACTTGTTCATCTTTCTGGCAGTCCAGGGAATCCAGCATCATATATCCAACAAATCGTGTATTCCCTGTCAGATTTCTTTACTGTCTAGCTTTCATACCCATAAAGCATATCAGAAATACAAGAGTACTTTATTTAGTATTGCTTTTGTTTACCACTTTTCCAAGTGGTATTTGTTTTAATATGTGTATACTTATTGTTTTTAGTTTTAAATAGTTTATTTTAATGATGTATGCCACCTTGGGTCCTTTTTTAAAGAGAAAGGTGGTATAGAACTATTTGAAATAAACAAAATAAAATAAATGAATGATCTTGGAATTCGCCTTCAGTGCCAAATCCTTACACTTGGTGATCTTTTCTA